ATAGACTGTATAGGGCTGGCAATCAAGCTATGGGACACAGTCAATGGGTTCAAATAAGTTTTATATTATTCTCTTGATGTTTTTAAATCATTACTCACAGCAGGGCTCCCGCTGTACTGAGGGACGAAGGTCTGTGAATCACCTCATCACGTGAGCACTGATCCGGCCAACAGAGTCAATATGGACGTGATGCAAACCTACAGGGAAAACCTACCCCAAAGTCATTCTCAAAATGACCCTGAACACATCACAGAATACTCAGTTAAAAAGCTGCTAACTCGACAAAGTGTTTGAATGCAGTTAAAACTTCAGAAAGAAGATCAGTCACTTGAGTGAGTCATCTTGGGACAGGGGTGGTTTTTTTTGATGCCTTTGATTGCTATGGGGTTCAACCTCGGGGCGAACACCATTACATGCTTGTTATGATGGGCGTTGGGGAGAAGAGAGGGTTGTCTCACCCCAAAAAAAAGAAGAAGAATTCCAGTTGAACTCCCGCAGTTTGGTTACAACGAGGCGGTTATCCATTTATGAAGCGAAAAGTCAATGCATCCGTGCGTCATTAAATAATGCACTGAGCAGGTTCCATGCAGAATGCACGAGACATAAAAGCGCTGACAGAGAAAACACATGCTGTAGGTCGAGCTCTCTTAAAACTTACAGAACACGTGACGCACCCCCGTGGGCGAGAACCCAATAAAGAGCGTCACTTCCTGCGTCATCGATCAGCTGGCAAATTGTGTCTGAATTCCACCACGCTGGCCGGCTGACAATTAAAGCGTAATTGGGAGATGACGCTTGTTCTGCCAGTTATTTGTTTCTCGCGAAGCTGGGGCGAGGGAAGGAAGTTCAGATGTAAACGGAGCGAGGAAACAAAATGGGTTTTTGCCTCATTTGCATAATTGATGGAATTTGGTCTCTTGTCAAAAAGGGGGAGCGGAAGCATGAGGCGCGTCGCTCCAGTCTTGTGAGAGAGATGACTGGAATTATGGGAAGTAAAATGTGGCAATCATAACAGAGAATATTAGCGTTCACCAGTAAATGAATCCCTGCAGTAAGAAGGAAGGACTGATTAAAGTATTCCACTTCAGAGCTGCTATCGTTTATCAAATAAGCATCAAGAGATAACAAACGTGTCGGCGGAAAATAAAGTGGCTCCTGTGGCTTCAGTACACATTTTTAAACATGTATTAACAAACAAAAACACCTGAAAATAAATTAAACAATCAAAAGCCATATCAGTCTCAGATTGAGAGATGAATCACCTCTATGAAGCAGACAGGCAGGAATAAATACACATGGAAGTGGATGGATGGGCTGCCATATAAAGTAGACATAGGTGAGGGGGGAAAGAGAGAGAGAGAGAGAGAGAGCGACAGCGACAGCGAGAGAGATTGTGATGTGATTTCAGATACTGACTCAAACAGCTCCTCCTGCAGTGATCACCGACCAAATCCCTTAGGAGGATTATCCAGACGCAAATCAAGAAAATTGTCCAACTTTAAGGGTTACGGGCAGGGAGTGAGAAAGTGAGAGTCGGGGAGGGGGGGATTTTTAATCCTCTCCTGCCTCTGATTGGTGTTTCGACACAGTGCTCCGTGCAGCGACACGTACAGCTACGCAAAATAACTGCAAATAAAAGGTAAAGAAATTGAATGCGTTCATTTATGAGCCTTAGTGGTGCTGATTTTTTTTAACCTTTAGGGAGAGCCAGGCTCGCTGTTTTTCGCCCCTGGTTCTAGTCATTATGCTAAGCTAAGCTAACTGTGTCCTGGCTGTAGCTTCACACTTGGCATACAGACACGTGGGTCGTATTGAACTTCTCATCTCACTCTCGGGCAAGAGAGTGAATAATTGTATTTCCCATATCCTCTTGTATTTGTGGAACCCCTCCCCTCCTTGGGCTCTTTTAGAAAGGTTCATCATGCGGCCCAAACTGCTTCCAAAAATGTTCCGTACATCATGATTATTACAGCTGATTTTAAATAACGAGTGCCCTGATTGACAAAAATTTTGCAAATGATACTTGTTTAGGTTGCCACGACTCGTCAGATGGCTCTCGGTACAATGGAACTTTGCCCTCTGAAGTAGCAGCATGCATTTGGCAAAAAGCAGAAGGCAATTTGGCATGCGTCGCTGTAATTTGATATTCAGAACACAAACAAGGCCTGCTGGCTAGTTTCACTGCCAAATTCCAACACACTAAAAAGCCAAGATTTTCCCACAGTACAAACGCTGATACAGGTCTTTGTCTTTGGGATGCATTGGATAGGAGAGACTGGCCTCCCGGACTAAAGCCAGATGTGTGGTAACAAAACTCCCATGAGTCCATAGTCAGAATAAAACCAACAAACACCACGAGAAGGATCACATATCCCTCTCACCTGCTGCAGCTGTTTTATTTCCCATCTGACGATGAATGATTCATTACGAGCATTAGGCGGTGATGAATTTACCACAACTTCTCATTACGGTTTATGAAGCAAACTTGGCATGCACAGCATGTGCAAACAGAAGGCTCTGAAACTGTATTATGGCAGCTCATGAATACACAACGGCCATCTGGGAACGGGCAAAGCGCGGCTAACTTGCCAGTGAGGCAAACACTCTCCTGGCACCTGTTAGCGCGACGCCATTATTAATTTTCACCATTTTACAGTCTGTCAACAATGAGATTGGAGCCAAATGTGTAGAAGTGGGTGTGGTGGATATTTTGACCGGCTGACAAAACGGTAAAGCGTAACGGAAAGTGCTAGTGGCAGCCAGGAGGGTAAAAAAACTCATGGAGAACAAGGGAAGCACTTCTTATGACAAATGGAGGCTATTTATTCAAATCACAAGACACATAAAGACAAGTGTGAACATATGCAAAACATGCACACCTGCCTCTGTGCTGTGTGACGTATTCATCTACATACATGAGAGGAATATGAATGTTCTCCATTTTGAGAAATACATTGAAATGAAGTCCGGGAAAAACTAATTTAAAGAACACTAACTGTTTATCCCTCACAGGGGTAGTTGTAAAAGATGAACACTGTGCTTCACAGGCATCAAAAGCATTGGAGAACACAGCGTGCTGCTTTGGTTTCCTCATATATTTGCATAATTTGGTAATATACCAGCAGCCTTTGCTTTCTGAATAGGTATTTTAAAAAAGGCTTTGCTTCTTTAAAGAAAGCACAGCAGAGCGAGACAAGGACAGAAGGATGTAGTGGTGTTACTGAACCACAGATCCATGAGAAGACTGCGAGCCATCGCCAACAAGTCTTCCGAATTAAACCACGAGATATGGTTGTAAATTATAGAAATGTTGTGAAATGATTGCCGGTAAGTCGGAGCCACTGTGGACACTTCTCTCTGTCTTTCCTCAGAGGAGTGGAGGACCCACTCCAGATGCTAACCTCTAGATGTGTAGGTTTCAGAGATTTGTCATGAGCCACGTTTAGAGGGCTTAAAGATGTGGGAGTCAGGGATCATGCAAACATGTGTATACACACGTATGTGTGGTGTATAAAACCCACGGTGAGCGGGGGACTGTTGTGTGCCGAGCTCTTCATCATCGCCGCGGCTCCGACGTCTTAAGACTTTTGCTGGTGTGTCTTCTCATCTCAGGCCTGTGATTGGTTTCACTCACATGTCTGGTGTAGTTTACACAAACGGAAATAATCCTGAATGAAGCATTTGATAAATATTTTTGCCTTTATTGTGTAATTGTAATAGGTGTGCGACGTTGAGCATCATGGAGGCTGGATAGTGTTGCTCAGGGTAAACCTGGTTCTCTGTCTCTTGAAGTACTTAGTAGTCTTGTTACGACTCTTCCTCTGGCTCTGTGCTCTCCACTGGCTCACTTTGTGTTCCCATCCTTTTCAGTAACCATTGTCCGTCCTCTCTTGTTTCTTTATCTTTCCCTTAATCACCAGCACTCTCTGGTTGCTCCTTGGACTCTGTGATTGCATCTCATAGATGCCAACATTTCTTAGCCACTAAAATAACACTAATAACAGGACGAAATCACAACGAGGCCTCTACCTGCGTACATATAATGTAACCAAGTACATTTACTCAAACATTTGCTCACAACAAAGTCTGTGGCCCGTCTTGAGTAACCGGGTCGTGGTTTTTGGAGAGAGAGACGTTGCTGTGGAGTTTTTCAAATGTAATCGTTTTTCAGCACCATAAGCCGAGGGCCATATAGTCCCATTATAATGGAGAAGGCAGACATACTGCGGATATCTCCAAAAACTAGACAACTCACTTCCATTCCATGCTGTGTTAGACATCGTTTACTTTGTACTTCACTGCATTTCTTTTACAGTAGTTACTCGGATTTTTACAAACACAATATACGATAAACTTATCAAATATGATGTATCGTTGTAGATGTAAGGCCCACATCCCTGGGAGCGTCCGAGAAGTCCCCCCAAAAATATGTATATATTTGTTTCTTTTCGCACACGATAATGACTTATTATCTTGTGTGCATAATATATATATATATATTTGCATCCTTATGGATAATTACACACTGAAATGGGCCTTTTAGTTTGCTACTTTAGGTACATGTTAAGCAGAATGTTGAACAGGACTTTAACTTGCAACAGGCGATTGGTTACAGTGTGGTATTGTTACTTTCACTTAAGTAAAGGATCTGAATACTTCCTCCACCACTGACAACAGGTCACATATAAATCGGTCACTGAAGTGTCTCAACTGAAGCACTTTCATCTCATTCATTGTAAGAGTCATGAAACGTTTTGGGTGAAACACACACCGGCTGACTAAGTGACTGTAGAGTGCAATTACTGGCTCTTCCAAGGAGACTCTTGAATTGTATACCCGGCAAAAAAACACCTTTTTTACCTTCACCTGGAAAAATCTTGGATGGATTATCTTGTCTTTCTTCCCAAGAAGGTGGCATAAGTCAAGAAATTGGAATACAAAGTTAGAAAACACATGATGGCGCCCTCAGAGCATAGAAGTAAAAGAACACACACACTCACCCAGACAGCTTTGGCATCTTGGAGAAACCAAACATGTCCATGTGGTCCTGCTACAGTGCTCTATATCCCAAAGCGGCTCCACATCAGTATTCTAATCCACATCCAAAGACCAGACAATCCAGTTTCAATCCGGATCCATATCAAGAGTCAACAAAAGCCTTTCGAACGCAGAATTCTGAATTCCTCACAGTTTGTGAGAAAACACTTGAATGGTGTGGTGAAAGTATCGCCCTTGTCCAGTGCGCAGACAGTCCAATTCCTTGTCTGTCCAGAATGTTGCGTCCCTTAAGTGATGACATAGACCACGCGGGTCACCCCCTTCCTCTCTGCTCTCTCTGGGACGAGTCAGCCCATTCTGCTGCTCTCCACCTGGCTGAGTTGAGCTGCAATACGCCCCCTGTGTGTGCTCTCCATCTCGGCGCATGGAGTAGTGCAGTGATCCTAGCCGCGGCAAGCAGGGTAGAGGAGAGGAGGGGGGAGGGACAGTGAATGGAAGAGGGATGGGATGGAGAGGGAGAGAGGGAGGGCGGGTGGACAAAGCGAATGGATGACGGATGCTCTCTGTCTCCGGCTTTGCCCTCCGTTCATCTGGGCTGCGAGTCCCTTTGCAGGGCAGAGGATAGGATGCAGAAAAAAGGAGGGGTACGAGGATATCAAGATAAAAGATGGAGGAGGGACATAAGAGGAGGGTAAAAGTGCTTTGGCTGTAAAGAGGACGCAACTGAGAGAGACAGAGAAGGAGGGGGGGGGGGGGAGCGGTGATGGGCAGAGGAAAGCTGACTCGGCAGAATGGGGCGCTGATGGGAGCAAGACCCCTACTCTCAGGGTTTTTTCTCTTTTCCCCCCTGCTTGGTTTTACCAAGTGAGCTTGTAACACTGATGCAACAGAATGTTGAGAAATCTCTTTACATAAAATCTTCATCGTTTTCAAACCTCATTTAGATTAAAACCAAATTGACTTTAGACGGTTTCCCTTTTAAGAACGTTCAAGGACTTTTTTTTATTTTTGTTGTTGTGCATGTTCACACATACACACACATTCCTTCACAGCCTGTCAAACCCCGTCAACAAGTCAGGGTCGTGTGCGTGCATGCATGTGTGTGTATGTGTGTGTGTGTGTGTGCGCACACAGATGGCTCAGCCTTAGCGAGGCACGAACCACAAATGGACCCCAGTGGCGATGATATACTTTAATTTAACGCAAAAGAGCATAAATTATGTTTAGCATCCCATGTAATCCAACTCAACTGGGCGTGTAATGAAAGGAGGTACACGCTTTTCATTTATCTTATGAATAAAGGGAGTACATTTTTCTTCTTCCATCGGCCGCTACAGGTAACAGCACAGGGTAACGGGAATCTCGATCCAAGACAGCTACGGGGTTGTTTTATCAACTGGGCCTGCTGTCACCGATGGCATCAGACAGTCACTAATTTGGATCCAGGCCTTTCCTTAAAATGTGTGGTTACAACACTGTCAGATCAGGACAGCGGAGGGGAGACGTAATGTGAAGTGAGAGAAATGGAAGCAGCACGTTGAATGCCACAAGATTTAAGGATTCATAAAAAAGTTACTCTGATGGTTGAGGACAGTCTAATCACTATTTATGAGCACGGTGTTTCTCCGGGGAGCGATGAAAAGACTGCGCACTTGATCACATTAAAAGTTTCAGACTCTTTCAGAGAAAAGTTTAAGAATATTGCTCAGACTGTCCCAGGACACACAACATAATGTTCCATCTCAAATAAGTATACAGGGCCATAATCTGGTTTCTGCTACATTACTGTCAGTGCTATAGCGTCATAGATTTGTGCTGGGTTGTCATTAATCACAGTTGAGTAACTCTTAAATCAAGACGCTGTAAGAGTCACTGGATCTTATCCTATCGTGACGTCTGGATTTGCTAATTGTCTCTTTTCAGGGTTAAGAGGACAGTACACACTGTAAGAATTGTTTTTCAGATGGTCAGATAGCTTGGTAGCGCGCAGGTAGTCGTATAGGTAGATAGAGACAGACAGGTCGGCCATCCAATCATTTCGTGTGACAGCTTCAGACAGGGGTGTCGTTAGGCCTACTTTAGGGGGGCTGAAGCGTGCGTTCTGGTTTGTATGTTTTCTCCCCCTTCAAATTACAATCCAATAGCCTATCATCATACTTCACGATATAAAGTTGACAGTCAGGTCCATTCTCCATCCATTGTGTGCGGTCCCTTTAAGAATTAGGATTTGGGAGTGACGCGGATATGAAAGCTAGTTTATCCGTCTTTCCTTTACAAGCAGGGAAATTATTTCTCTCTCTTTATTTGAGAAAAGTTCATATTTGTGTTGTCAAATTTCACTATGACCAGGGTTCATACACATTTTGACCAATGGATTTCCATGACTTTTCCATGACTTTAAACCAAATTTCCATGACCAAACATTTTGTGAAATCTCGGTGTATACATGAAAAAGTGAGAAAATGTAGTATTTAAACTACCAATGAGTATTCCAAAGCATACAGTATACCTTACAGTATACGACATGAAAATATGAATATAACAAATTTCCATGACTTTTCCAAAACCTTTGGGATTTTATTTTTTTCCATGACTTTTCCAGGCCTGGAAATAACCATTTTAAAATTCCATGACTTTTCCAGGTTTTCCATGACCGTACGAACCCTGTATGACCCTGAAATTCTGTCTCTTGTTATCATATACTGAATGCAAGCAAAACTACAGAGCAAAATCACACTCTTTCTGATTGAACCAATCTATGAACTGTCTGAAACAATGGATATCCGTGGCCCCAAATGGGCCCCAGAAAGAATTGTTTATGTGCGCAAACATGCCACTCCCCTTGGGGCTAAGCCCCCCCCCCTTCTTTGAATCCTAGAAACGCCCCTGGCTTCAGATACCAAATTTTTTTTCGTTTTTGTCAGAGAATTTGATTTATGGATTTCTGTCGGGATGTAAAGAGAATTTCAAAAATTTCAACCAGAAAAAATGCTTCTAAAATAAAATCAGTTTTAAGGAAATTCAAAGCTCTGCAGTTAATGAGCTCACAAATCTTTGGAGATCACGTTCAGTGTACGTCTGTAAATAAAAGGCATCACGTCCGTCTCCTCTCTCGCTCTCAAAGCAGTAACGGCAGAAAGCAGCGACTTAATGTCAGGCAGCTTTGATGCAAAGACCCTTTGATGACCCTCGTCTTCCCTCAGGCACACACTAAAGCGCATGCATCCACATGCATCCGCATACATCAAACGCACTTTGTGAGTGGCAACATATGAAAGGCCTTGTTGCCCTCTTCCATACTGGTTTGCTCACATCCCATCTCAGGGCGAGACAAAAGAACAAAGACCCCTTTTGGATGTTCGTATCCAATTTCCTGTCAGAACTTATTACAGTTCAAAGCTATTTTGGGATATCTAGTCGTGTGCATCACTGGGGGCTTATGGATGATTGTTTCCAGGAATCCTTATTGTGGCAACTTTCCTTTTAATAAATCAAGTTTGTGTAAGAATGGTGATAGGTTCTTAGATGAGTGGACATCTTTAAGTCAGGGCGACAACAGAAACAAACCAAATTGGCTGGAAATAATGAGCCATCTCTGCAGCAACGTAGTTCCTCTGCCCCGACCAAATTTATCCCCCATCAGTACATTTGACCTGACACCATTGACAGAAGAGCAAAGAACAAGCAGCATCTTGTGTGATGCATAAGCTCTGCAACATGATGATAAAGCAGTGTGACGGCTTCCATGGTACCAGCTCCTTGCTAACACACACACTTCCTGTACTGAATGCATAGGTCGTAGTATGATAATGGCTGTGATTTAGTGGACCTCCCATAAATATTGTACACTATCTAAACATACCGATTGACTTTAATTCTCATTTGAAATATCAAATGTAAAAGTCAGCCTTTATCCTCAGATTAGGAAAAGAAAGCCTCAGAACACAAGGAAGAATAATGGAGCTGGTGGCCGGAGAAGCTGGAAGCAGTGCACTTGAGGAGGAGCTGATTGGATTGGCGAAGGAAGCGGTAACTAACGATTGGTCCCCGTGTGAGTAAGTGAGCGGAGTGCTACCTTTAGGTTTAAGAGATTGGATAAAGTGATTGAGGAAGGAGTTGCTTAATTTGAATCTGACAGGATAATAAAGGGAGGCAGGGACCCATGAGAATGGATCGGGGCCAAGAGGCGTAAGGGCTGAGAGCGGGGAACGAATGAAGAAGTGAGCGACAGTGAATGACCTTTTTTGCCAGGGTCCACAAAGTCCCATTTCATATTTATCACTTGTTTCATGAAGGGGTGTAAGGGACGAAACAAAGAGTGAGTGGGACATGCTGGACCCGTTACTCCTAAACTGCTCATTTACTTCCACACTTCACCGATGCCTCCTGCAGTGACTTGCCCGGCCATTGGACTTTCTAAGCTTCTCTGAAAATGTGATGAACTGGTTCCCGGAGGGACTCGAACAGAGCCAACTTTGAACACCGCAAGATGGAACATAAGCTCAACAACAACATACAAGCAAAAGAAACATGTGAAAAGTATTTTCTTTCTACAGCTTCTGCTTTCTTATGTTAGATGACTTGCAACTCGACTTTCACACCAATGACCTGTGACTTCACTTGGCCTTTAGCCTTTTGATTTGGAATGACTTTCACAGCCCAAAAAGTGTCAGCTGATGAATCACTCCAACAGCACTCACTCATGTGCCGTGAGCAGAAGGGAAAGGTTCAGACCAGTCAACAGACACCAGATGGTTCCTCAGATTGTCACATTCGGATGGAAAGACTGCCGGCAACTCAGCTCACAAGTGACAAATGATTATGATACAGGAACGTAGTTAGCTGTTCGCCAAACAACAACGGTGGGCAAACTATTTTCCCCATTGACGTACAGTCTCTGGTCGCAGAGTAGCGTACGAGTAGGGACTGAGGAGTCGGCAGGCAGCCAACGGCACTATAAAACAGGCGATAAAAGTTTTTTTTCCTGAGAGCGCGGGAGTCACCGCAATCACTAGAGGTCCTTGAGCATGCAGCTATAACTCGCCACCCAAAATATTATGCAGTTTGCTGCAGCAGAATGCGAGCGGTGGACAAACAGAGGTGCTCACTCACTCACACGAGAGCGCATAGTTCTCCTGATGGAGATCAGCATGTCATCACCTAAGAAGTTGAAGTATTAGTCTTTGTCTTGTATCTATCCCCGTACAGGCATGCTTTGATGACAGAGCATTATAGTCTGTTGGTGTAGGACTGGGTGCAGGAGGTACAAACAAATGTTATTTGGAGAAAACTCCACAATAATGCATCGCACTGATTATTATCTCAACTTCTAGAAAATACTCTTTTCAAACTGCCAGTCTGCCAATTCTTCTGCCTGCCGGTCATTTCTTTCCTCTATGGGTGATATATAAAGTCAGCCCACCCACAGCTTTCCCTTCTTCATCCTTTCCCCAAATTCTGAATCAAAATGTTATTTGAAAATGTCATAATCTTTACAGTCTGTGAACGTGTTGAGCACCTGACGAACAGAACATCAGGACCTTTTCTTTGTTTTGTTTATCTGCCAAGGCTGCTGCCTGATCTCTCCACTCTTCTTATTACAGTGAGGATAGATAGGAACGCCACTCGCATCCCACTGCCGGTTTGTGTCCCACAGAGATAAGCATCTGTCCACTAATGAATAATAACAATACAGCCCAAGGTCGCCATTCAAGTGTGAGTGGCTGTGTGTGAGAGAGAGAGAGAGAAAACATGCGTGCCACGCATTACTACACATCGCATTGGCATTCAGCACTCCTTCACCTCTCTGTGATGGTTGACACGCACACACAGCTAGTCATTAACCTGCCTGTGTGTGGGGTGTATCTATCTCTTTTGCCTCCTTTTAAAGAGCAGGAGCCTGTAATGGGGTTTCCACTAGAGGCTGCCTCGGGAACAATACAGTTGATCTTGCAGTTAAACGTGTGGCTGATCAGCTGATGTCTCCATTTTGTAGGAACTGGACCTTGATGACTTTGACATTCCCTTGAGTCTCATACATAAATCCCTATCACCTTTGCAACAGCCACTCACATCTCTATAGTTGTTCTGTATTCTGCTGGCCACTGAGGCATATATACAGAGCCGGCCCCCTATCTGCAACAAGACGTGGTTGTGTACAACCTTTGCAAATTGTGGTTTGATGGAAACGCTGTCGCCGCCTGGATTACTTTCACTCGCAGCGCTTTTGTTTCAATTCATGAGGAGCGTCAATCTTTATAGTGTCACAGGGAGGACACGGGGACAAAGGGAGTCCACAAAGAGATGTCCTGCATCCCTCATATGGTCGGGTTGTCACTTGGTTGAAAAAAGCTCTTGTGTCTCATTTGCTTTAGTTCCCTCAAGCTGATTACTTTTACTGAATTTAACTTCTTCCCCCACCAAAGGAAACAGAACTCATCAAAAACAGTCATGCTTGCTTAAACTGTGCTAATTTAGCAACTTTAGTGACTGTGAAAAATAATATTTATAAATAACAAGCTAGCATTTTATCCGAACGTGGTGAGACATCAGCAGTAACTAAATGCTATCAATAAAAACAAGTAACAAGACAAAAACAGTTTTAATGTTCACAATTAATATGATATTTCTTTTGAAGCTTCCCCATGGAGTTTTCAACCACTTGTGGTTCCGTAGAGCAACGTTTCAACAATACAACAATTAAAATACAAGACGACAAGGCGTGCAAATAATGTAAGTTTAAATACATTACAATAACATTTATTTTGTGACTGTTTGTTTACTTCACCAGGTACCATAATGTCATTGTTACAGCTGGTGTCAATACATAAATCAAGTCATACTCTGCTTTACTTTGTCACTGCTCAGGTGGAGCGTTCAATCATAATATTACCTGATTATTATCTAAGTGTGTACGCGATTGCTCGGCAACGTGCAGTCTCAGCAGCCCAATCCATCAAACAGTCATTTTACACGGCCACATGCATGACTTCCCAGCATGCAACAGCGCGGGGCCAGGCATTCCCGGCCAGCTCCCAGTCATTACAGGGGATAAAGCCGACGCCACCCTTCACATGCACACACACGCGTGCGCGCACATGCAGC